GGATGTTAATTATCGCGCCCTTTTCAAGGAAGCTCATTTGAATTCTGAATTGTACACTCAGTGAAAACGTTTCATGCCCTGTCTATCGCAGCTGAATCTCTGCCACCTGAAAGAGACACTAATTTGGTTAGAAATGTTCCAAAACAACTGCACTAAACTACATAGCTCCCAACTGCTTCAACTACTTCACCTTTTGCCCATTTCAAATGCCAAGTATTTAGGACACGCTCAATTCCACTCTTAGACTGCGTTGATTTGCATGTAATACTTGACTGTTTCTTATCTATAACTATTTACTTGACTCCCAAGTTTATGGTCAGCAGCTTGGTTGATCTGTTGTTCGAGTTCCACAGCGTCACGACGTTGTTATTGTCGGTCAGTACGGCTAGGATGTCGCCTTCTTTGTCCCATACCAGCTGAGTGCAGTTGCTGAAATGGTGAAATAACCAGTAGGTAAGTCATATTTGATCAGCATGCACGTTTTTCTACCTTTCCAATGCGATCACCTCAGCTGTTGCCCCCTGTCGATCGTAGACCGTCACACCGCCATCGAACCTGAAATTATTCAGGTTATTGATGTCAATGCCGTTCGAACGTGCCTCAGAAACCGTGCTTACCGAGCTGTTGCTAAAAAGTGACCTGCACCAGGTTGCCATGCAAAGATCAGTAAGTTTTTTCCAGCTGGCCCGGCAGGGCCCACATATATGTCATGCAGAAACTAAAACCGATAGGTAAAATTTTGGGAAAACGTTTCGACGTCGATTCATGACCTACTTTCATGATGAGAGATATGTTTCATAGTGTCGAGGTTCAAGTTGCTAGGCAACAATACACGAAGACAGTACACCACCTTCCAGAATATTCAGGTCGCTGTGATTATCAATTAAGGCTAAATTAATCAATGGACTATTAAATCAATTTTATTCTGTTTGATATTTCTAAAAGTTCAAACTTCCCAAGTAAATAAGTGCTATATATGTCAATTCAGTATGGCGGTTATGATTTTGCTGCAATGCGAATCTTTCGCTGAAATGGTTCTACTTTTTTCCTTGTCTCTAACCATGGAATCGTGACATGCCCTTTTGACATTCCCGTGAGATTTGTGGTACGTATAACAATCTGCAAAGCATAACTGTTCCTGAACATCCTGTTTCACAAAACGTCAAGTAAAAGAGCATCAGTTGTTGATTATCAGCATTCTACTAATAGATCATTTTCCAAATGAGTTGACTGCGAGTTAATCTTTGTTTATGCGAAACCTTGAACTTGGGCTTGGCGATGGTTTCGCCGTTTCAGTTTTCCCAATTTTAGCTTTATTATAAAAATGCACCAATTAAAGAAGCTTCTTCCTGATGATTACAAGTAGACGGCGACAGAATGACCACAAGTCAACGACCAAAAAGTTAAGCTCCTGAATCCCTTCGACCTGCCGGTAATCGACGACGAATCGCGTAGGCCGCAACACGCCCACTTTTTGTCGCAGTTTCGAGCCTTTTCCCACCAAGCGCTGCCTTTCTGGCTCCTGGTATATTCTTCCCACGGTCGTAGTGAGCGACCAAGGGGCCTAGTTCTCCCACGAGAATACCAGTCGACGATCATCAGCGATCACCTCCCGTCGGTGTCGTGTCCGCGCTCACTGCACATTCTTCCTTCTGCTTTCGACGACAGCGTCTTTCACCCCTGTCTGTTGCTGATTACCGTTTCGGGAATGAAATCGCGATGTGAGATTCTCAGCATTCTTCTTTCCACGTCTCTCTCGGTTGCAGATTGCCGGCGCTCCTCCAATTTTGTGAGTGACCACGTCTCACAGCCATACA